AGTGAATCTAGCATTGTATAATAACAATCTCTCTGTATTGTAATATATGTAAAGTAATGTCTCAATGTATAATAACAATCCTAATAACAATAGCTCTGTATAATAAATCTAACTTTAAAAGTAAATTCTAATACTTTTAGTGACATTTTGGGATATGATATAGAATGATTTTGTATTTATATGTACACCTTTATTTGCAATTTTTTCCTCTAAAGTTATATAAAAATTGAAAAAATAAAAATGTTGATATGAATAACCGGAAGCATAAAGTTTATATCCTCATATTTAATTTTGACAAAATAAATTATTTTTGAAATTTTCATTTAATCAATAATAATCAATAGTTCTTCAACAAATGGTACAGCTCGAAACATATTTCAGTACGACGGGGAATGATGTGACATTTTCATTAACAACTTAGTACCTAGATCTATTTTTTCTGTTGCGAACTTTACAGACATGGTAATAGTTTAAGCAATAGCTTAGTCATTCATATTTAACGCATTTACGTTTACGCAATTACGATTAAGTCTGCCAGGTGGATCGAACTTTGGTGTACGCTATGTTGATTTTAATTAAATAAATTCTGGTGGTGATATTTTAAAGTACTCATACTCTCACAGCTAGTTGGAAAGCTAAGGGTTGTGTGCTCTTTCCTGGCAATTGACAAAACAACCGACGCGTTTATTAGCAAGGCGCACGTTAAATCTGACGGAGGGAAACCAGCTCAGTCTCTGTTCTCGTCTTCTGACCAGGGTCAAAATTACATGACATTCCTACCTTGGCTATTAAAAAAAGCCCTAAAAATGGGGCCCGATGCTTGGCCATTTCCGGTGAACTTGCATTATAAAAGGATAAATTACAAAATAAATGGTTTAAATACTGTTTTATTAATCAGAATTATGTTTTTTTTTTACCAGAAATGTTATTACCATACAATACGGTAATTTTACCAGAATTTTTTTTTCCACGTGTACTCTTCAAAAACTACGGTACTATTTAAGAGCATAATTTAAAAAAAAGTACTTATAGTAAATGCTTAAACTCTCCTGCTTAATGTAATAAATTATGTTAAAAACTCAAGCGTTTCAAATTCAGACAGCTTAGGACTTCTTCGTTAAATCCCTAATGAAATATAAAACGACAAACATTTATAGTTTATGACGATGGCAACACTACGAAAACGTCAACTATCTCCTTAAAATGACTCAGCAATAAATGTAAGAGCAAGAAGAAAAGAAAGATAAAGGAAGGACTGAAGCTCTTACTTGGCATTATTTGTTTGTTTTTTCTAATCCCTATGTTTAAAATTAATATTCCTTCAGTGCTTTACAACCGGATGCAAAATATCAGTATTCTAAATATAAACCGCGTTGTGAAGAACAACTTCACGAGTTCCACTAAAAATCGTTTGGTTTGTTGTAAAATACTCATAAATATTTATCAAACGACAGAACTTTTCAATTGACTTATTAATTAGGTTCAAAAAGTATGTATGAGAGATTTTACAAATTTGGGAATACTATTTGTGTTCTGAATCTATATTTTTGTAACGTTTTGAAGTTTTATCTACGTATTTATAATCCTTTAACACTTTATTTCTGATCTTAAGCTATAACAAAACTCACGTCACGTTTTCTGATCGTAAACTATAACAAATCAACCCAGTCATATTTACTCATTTTGATGCCCTGGAATTTTGCTTTATTCATATGAATACTGATTCCCTTGTTAGTTACATTAATTACTCACCACTTCTCCATAGTGTTTGGAAGCATTGCATTTACTCGGATTGCATTTTACTGCAATCAGAAATGCATTTTACACTGATTTGCTCCTATCAGCCACAGGGATTTTACTTGTTCTGTTTTTTCCTGTTTATTTTTATTCTTTCTCAGCTACTCAAGTTTTTCTAGTTTTGTTTATCACCTTTATTTTTCCATTTTTCGTTGGCAGCTTTCCGTTTTATATTTTAAATCACTTTTATTTCTTGTCATTCACGTCTTACAAGTCTAGAATTTGGGGGCCTGTTTTTGAGCGCTTGAAACACGTCGATTCTTATTTCCTACTTATATATTTTTGAAACAAATGAAGTTTTTTAATCAAGTGATATAACAAAAGTCATCTATGCGTCCTATTCTCATATCGTGTGTGTTCTAGAGAAGTTATACCAAAAATTTACTTTTGTCCTAATTTCGTCTGATAACTAATATAAAAGTAAGAAGAATATTAATAAAGAAAAAGAGTAAAATCAAATAATAACTATATCTCAAATCTGGAATAATATTCTGTCCCACAGATTTTCTGTCATCCTCATGACTCAAAAATACGAGCACGTTTTTTTTTTTTTTAATAGATTTAATTTTTAAAGAATTAGCATCACTGTTAGAATACTAATTTAACAACTTATTATTTTGAATGAAGTTCTTAAATATGCGAAATATGCTTACCAATCCAAGTTTTTGGCAGTTAACAGCTTGTATAAATTTAGATATTGCTTATAGAACACGAAAAATTCTGATTTGTCATCCACGAGATCATTAATACGAGGTGTGTTTATGATTCATTGGCCATTAGGAATGATGAATATAGATAATAATGCATGTCAATTCGTAATTAAGATATTTCCAGATATGAAGCTGGGAACAATAAAATTTCAAAATAATGTAAATTTCGCCTTGAAATTTAGATATTCTCGAATTCATTATCACGTCCATTTTGTATATGTATTTCTTAACATTAAATTGCATCATAAAAAATGCAAATTAAAAAAAAAATAATGTTTTAAGCTCTGCTAATAATATATTAACTAACATTTAAATAATTTTAGCGGATTTTTTTTCCAATTTTTTTGACAAAATTATTTTCTAGAAAATTTATGCTTCAAATGTTTCAAATTTGTAGAATCACCCATGTGTCTTTTAATAAATTTCTGAGTATGCAGTTTTCTGTAACAATGTTCTGATTTGTTTATCCTATAATTAACTGTCCGAATCTCAAAATTTTTCTGTTGAGTTAAATAATTATTTGCTTTGTTCTCCCTTGATATTTACCCGATAGTTTTCCTTTGTTTATTTTAAATTTTCGATTTTGCTTTTTTTTGTTGTCCTACAATAATCCGATACCCTATTTTCTATGTTAACTTATAGTTATCGGTTAAAATTTTCTCTGCTGTCCTATATTAATTGACTGATATGCAACTTTCTGTTCTTCGATTGCCCCGCATGCTACACAGAATTACAGTCATTCTGAAATTACAGTAAAATAACTGGAAGCAGTCTGTCCATCCGATTAACCGTAAAGTTTAGGCTCAAGAACATTTTTTTACCGTTACGGCTTTGAAACCGTTTACAACTGTTACGGCTAAAAAACCGTGAATACGAAACTACATGGCTTTGTAACTACTATTTACAACTAGCATAGTTTCTAAACCTGAGAAATAAAAATTAAACGGACATTAGAGCCCTGTGTGTGCCGCGCCATTTGTGCGTAAATGAGAGTTTCGTATCCTAATAGTCCAGGGTCATCGATTGAAAAGTGTTGGACACTGGAAACACTTTATGTATTCAAGGAATGAAAGAAATAATGTGATAACAACGCCGGGATTCGAACGGCACTGTTCATGAGAATAACCGATCAGCTCTCTCCAGCTGCACGGAACAAAATGACTTCATAAGGTGGGCCTATTTGACCCGGATAGAATTCAGGTTGTTAAACAACATTAGGTAAAAACAATCAATAAACGATTCTTCTCACACTTAACAGTGTGAATATAATCTTTTTATGGTTATTTGGCCGTTTTAATTGAATATGGTAAAATAACAATTAAATAAATTGCTATTTAACCATTTTTGCCAGAAATTTCTAACAGTGTATGCTGTACTATAACAATTAGCTGATAAACTTTTTTAATGACTTTCCAATATGCTTTCCTTTGTTGTCCTTCAATAATTGATCGATATGCTATTTTAACCTTTTGCCTACCGCACCTGATAACACCTGCTATTTTGGACCATCAGTTGTACCCATCGTAAACAAAAGGATAAAAAAATCTTAAATATTTATTCGATAAACTTTTGTCTACTGACGTATAATAGTTCAATATTAAAAAAACGTTTTCCAACCACAAAATAACCATAACCTATCATTATTTATTGGTTTCCACAACCGCATCAGCAGTTTCTAAAAATAAATAAAATAAATGTTTTTTTAACAATATTAAGCTACTTATTAAAATTAATATGTATATTATGCAACCTTTATTTGCATATTTATTCAGAAATCTTTGCAATTAAGTGGTTCTATTTTCAGTAAAACATAAGAATATCTTTTAATAGATTTATTTAGATTTAAATGATAAATGAATAAGCAATATTTATTTCATTATTTTAAATGAAAAATACCGAAAATATGCTGGTTTAACCAAGATATTTCGATTTTATATACATAAAATAAAATGTGTTTTCTGATTAAAGCAATCTTTAAATCATCATGAACGATCTTGGTTCATTCCAAGAGAATCGAAAACATTAAGCCTAATTTTGACATAACTCGTTTTTTAATTCTTTTCAACTGGTAAGTCAATCGTTGATTTCTCAAAATCAAAACAATCAATGTGTTTACAAAAATGAATGATATAATATGCAAAAATACTTAACGACATGAATTTTTAAAAGTCATTTTAAACTTATAATACTACAACATATAGCAACTTCTACACACACATTTAGAATTTGGAGAGAGAAAAATAAGATTGCAAGAACATGCTCATATGTCGTAACGGTGCGTACCTTTTCCTTTTGTTTATCATATTTCTTTAAAAAGAAAAGAAAACTTATAAACATTGTTCATTGTTTAACTTCAATGTTTCACAATTTAGTTTCTTTCTATTCTTTCTTGCATTTCAACTACATCTCAATTTCAAACAAAAGAATAATTAGTTCTTCTCATGTGTAAATTGTGCCAATGTATCTTTTTGATTTTTTCCTGTTCCTTTCTAGGAAGAAATTCGTTCGATTCGACCTAGACCTTTTAATAATATGGAGCAATTAGAATCACCCCCTTCTTATGATGAAGCCATTCGTCAAGAATTGTTCAGATTTCAGTTGCCTGCTACGCCTATGCATGGGTGAGTAGTAATAAAAAATTTATATGGGAGGTCATTCACTTATTAGGTAAGAATATTTTCTGTCATTTGGATGAACGGTCCTCCTCCTTTGTCAGAAAAATAAGCAAATATGTGTACTAGCCCTATATTTAATAGCACACCCTCATGCTTACGTAGGTGTTTTTTATTCAATTCAATTTTATTCAATTTTTTTTATTCAATTGAAAATACTTAGTTTCACGCTTAAGCGTAGCTCATATGATTTTACCTTCTTTGTTATTAAAAATATGCAAATTGCAAAGCTTACTCTATACATTTTTATGGTGTAAGAAATTTGTCTTGCGAAAGCAATGCTCATATTATCTCCCCTACCCTCTCGCCAGCAAAAGTAAGTAAATAGCAACCCACCCCATTTCTTCTTATGTGCTTACGTAATATTTCAACGGCCAATGCGTTAAATTTATGTACTCAAATTTAAGTATCAGTGAAAAATGATAAGAAAAAAATTTAAGCACTGTAAAAAAATTTTTACGGTATAAAGTACCACTTTGGGTGCGTCATCCGTAAAATCAATTTAAGCCTAAAATCCATTTTTACTGTAAAATATTACACCGTAATTTTTACAGTAATATTTATTGAAATAGAGTAATTCAGTGATTTTACAGTAATTGTTACTGTAATATTTATTTAAATAGACTAATTCAGTGATTTTACAGCAATTGTTACAGTAAAAATTACGGTATGTTAGATTATTTGTTCCGTAACATGTTCCGGCAAAAATGGATTTTACGGTAAAGTGCCATCAGGAATCTTGAGTGAAGGTATATTTTACTTTAAATTGATGCGGGAGTTTTTGCAGTGCTCAAGGAATAATTAATGTCATATTCTCATAATATACTGCCAAAATATATCTCATAATATAATTAGATAAAAATGGTTAGCATAATTTTGCAATTTAATACGATAGAAATGAATATGAGAAAAAAAATTTCTTTAATCAAAGAACGATTAATCATTTCTACAATATTGTTTTTTTTTTTTTAAATCGAATTCTGTATGAACTCTAGCTAAATAGATTTTGTCCGGTTTAGTCACATTTTTAAACTTAAAAACAATAAGCGCGCTTGAAAAAAAATTGATTTGACATAATTTAAAATTTTTTTAGACACAAATTTAAATCTTTTGTGGTTTCCTACATTCGTAAATCATTTATAGAAACTAATAAATATAACGTTTATTCAAGCTTAAGTCCTCACTTAAAATTTTTAGTTACCTTTATTTAGAACCAAAGAGCCTAATTTATATAGGGTTTTGTTAACAATGAGACTCCAATTCTGCTGGGGGGAATGTCAATTGTTAAAATATAATCTGTATACTTGATTTATATCATAATAGATTCATATACGTGGGATGTGTAAAATTTTTTAGCAAGAAAACAAAGCTGAGCCGTGATGGCTCAGAGAGTAGAGCGTTCGCCTTCCAAAGAGGTGAACCGGGTTCGAATCCCAGCGATGGCTAGTTGATACGAATTCCGCATCCGGCTTGCATCAATCACAGTGCTGACGTAAAATATCCTCAGTGGTAGACGGATCATGGGTGTAAGTCCCCTTGCTGTCAGGCTTACCGTGTTAGGTTTTTCTGTTCATGTAAATCAAATACGGGTTAGTTACATCAAAAAGAGTGAAGGCAAATTTCTCCCAATATTTGCTCCAGGAATTGCCTTGTGTTCTAGATTGAGTTCAAAATTACAAGGCTACGGAGTTGAACATTAGTAGTCGTAAACCCGAAAATTGGGTCGGCGTTCCAAAGATGAGTATAAAAAAGAAAGAAAAAAGTCTAAAATTCATATATAGAACAGTTTAAGTTAGGGAAAAGCAACATTAAAGTGTGCTATTTGAAAATACAATTATATAGGGAATGTTTGTTTATAGTGAGGCTATTTTAATAGAAGGGCTATATGCTTAATTTGTGCACCCCTGTCGGTGACATGAAGCCTACTCAACTTCAGATCAGTGTGAACCAGTTGGATTAGAAAGTAAACTAGTTGGTGCATGCATATCAAGTTGCTGCCATCATGACGTTCATCTTGAAATTGAGTTACCTAAATCTCCTAGAACTTGACCAACAACTAGCTAACTGTTGCGTGAGTTCATTATTTTTTCAGGTACTTGATTACCCACCAGAAGATAGGTTATTTTTTATTTCGTTGTGCATATTTTTTTAAGTAACTATTTTAGATATTACAGAAAATATAATAAATTCTTAAAAAATATAAATATAAAGGAAACATGGAGATGTATATTTATATACAAAAATGTTTTAAAAGAAAACAACGTACGTTTGTTTAAGTCGGTACTAAATTGATGTCACTGGTGCTTTGATTTACGAGTAGGGTTCGCGCCAGTATGGCGATAATCGCCACCAATTGTCGCCAAATGTTCTACGAAAGTCGCTGAAATCATATGTAAGGGCGACAATATTGTCGTCTTCAAATATGTTTATAAGTTACAAAATAGAAATAAAAAATAGTTTTTTTTCTTTTTTCAAAATCCATGCATTTAAAAAAATTCTTTTACTAATTTTATTCTACACGTAGGTAGGTTTTAGTTTTAAGATTATTCAAATGCAATAACTGTTATTTTTAAACTTTTATTATTTCGCTTATTGATATATGTGAGGATAACAATTATAATGTATATACATATTTCTCTTATATGGCTCCATTAACTAAGGTTTACTAACATTTTCATGTACTGACGGTGTAATTGTTTATCAATAAAGCGAATTTTTTTTTTCTTTTTTAAAATCAACTTCAATCACAATTTTTAATATAATGTTTTGTTAGTCCTTACATTCTTTGTTTTCCTTAATTATTTATTTGGTCTCAGCATTTTAATATGTATGTTGAATCTATTTACTAATATTATTTAGCTTTTTTTCACCTAATTTTAATAAATTCTAATCTTCAATCATTATGGAATAATGAACGTAATTACTTTTAGGGTGTAATAGATGGCAATTGATAACTTTTGATGTGTACAATAACATGAATCATGCAATCGTAAAGTTTGATATTTTTTTCTCAAGTTTGTCTACCGTATAAATTTTTTGGACCACTAAATCAAAACCAAGGTGGTCGTATTGGACCACTCAATTTCCATTGCTGGTGTAAACCCTGTTTACGAGTGATATTGACCGCTGTACTTAATATTTTTTGGGTGTGGATTGTCACATTTTTATTTATTTATTTATTTTAATTTATCGCATAACACTTGTCAATGCATAAAATGATATATTTATTGATGAATCAGTTTAAACTAGAAATATTAGATTTATAATGTTTACCCTAGGAAATGAAGCCAAACATATTTATTTATTTATATATATATTTATTTATTGCATTATGAAGGCTAAAACATATCATACAGAAAATAAATTATAAAATTGTTTATAGTTTATTAATATAATAAATTATAAATTGTTAATAGTTTAAAAGAATACAAGAAAGTTTGAACATATTATTGTGCAAAAAGTGTTACTACTGAGAATGAAGATTTAAGTGTTAATTAATCTGCAAGAAGAATAGTGTCCATCAAAATTTTACTCGTCGAATATCAATATAAATTAAAATTGAAATATACAAGTCTAGCATTTTTTTAAAGAATAAACTGAGAAAATGTTTAATTAAAGATTTCTACTTAATACAAAATAATTTTAAAAATGAATTAATTAACTTTTAGTTTATGGTGAATGAAATGCTGGTAATTATACATTTTAATTCTAACTCTCAATCTCGTAGTCACAATTTTTAACATCAAACTTCAACTTCAGTAAAGAGAAAAGGGGTGTATGACGTTAGATTTACAATATTTAATAATCGAAAAAATTTTCTTAAATTGCTAACAATTTTTACGATATACATAGCGTAATTAGGTAATTTTAAAGTCATTTGTGACATAAAATATTTCCGATTTGTGACTAGCAATGTTTACGTAAAAATTGACGAAACCATTGTTCTGAAACAGTCATTGCACCACGTGAACGTAATCTTCCATTTTTGCTTCCTTTTTTTAAACATTAAAAGAAAAAAAGGCATAATAACCCGCCACGTGCGCATAATGACGATAAAAAAAAAAAATCTAAGATAAGTAATATTTTCGTAAGAGACAGTAGAAAACTGACACATGATAGATAAATTTATCATCATGCAGGATTCGAAAAATCTTTTTCGTAGAGTCAGTCTTTTTTTTTTAATAAAACAAAACTATTTTTTAATGATATTATAGTTCCTTTTCGAATGTAAAGTTTTGAAAAAGCTACATAAAGTTCTGTAATTATTGATACACACACATATATATAAAGAGATACCTTCTAAATCTATAATAAAAAAAAGTTCGTGTGCTTTTTTAAGATTTAAATAAGTAAGACATTACGCCTGCTAACCCTGGAGAACAAATTTTTGGTTGCATTTATATAAAATGCTGCCTAATTCAAGGGTAAGGATTCCAAATCTGAAATTAGGTTTGCTCCTAAACTTTACTCCTAGGTTTGCACAGTTTTTTATTAAAAGGGCATTTTTTAGTCTATTTTTAGTTGAAATGTACAAATTTAAAAACGGTCTTTATAAAGGGGGTTGCGTAAATGATGCTACAAACTTCTAGGGGTGTTGAGTCACATAAACGAGATTAAAACTGAATAGAAACACATGACCGGAAACGTCGTTGTACGCGACAAGGGGCACTTTTCTGTTCAGAAGCGCACGAAGAAACAGTTCATACTAAGAAAGAACCCTTAGCGACGCAGGACGACACTTCCAGGCATAGGATTACAATTCCGATGATAAGCCCTAACTCCCCTAGAATTTTGTCGCAACTTTTATGTATCCCCTGTTATATATAACCCTTTTAAACTTGTACGTTTTGACAAAGCAAAAGACTAAAAATGTCATTTAAAAAAAAACTGTTGCCTGAAGAAAGAAACCGATTGTAGATATGACTCTACGACATGAAAATATCGAAGATCGGTTAAAAAAATCTCATGAACGAAAAACATTTAAAAAAATAGTTCCCCATTGTAATTGAATCCTATGCTAGACGTTCTTCTTAGACAACTTTTGACTTTTAGGAGGTCAAAAAATAGAACTTATATTTAATTGTGAGGATAAATTTATGTATTTTCTGTGAAAATTACACATCTAAAAACTTAAGGGATCATTGTACCTAAAATTTTATCGATATATCTAATCTTTCAAAATGTCTTTTAAGTCTACTAATACGCAAAACTAAATAAATAAATAAAAATTACTATGATTTTAAATTTCAGAATAATTTTTATTAACAAATTTTTTATCATTAACTTTTATTACTAACTTCTCTATCTTTTAAGGACGGCGATTTCTAGTTGATTATGAGATGTGTTGTTTGCTAATAAGATTTTTTATTAATTTCTAGAGTACCGTGAAAATTTTAAAATCACTTAATCGCTCCAACCTTTCCTTATCTAATACGATAAAATGTATTATGATACACAAATTGCGAACACGAATTTACGATTATAATGGTGAAACAAACGATGTATTTTTTTAAACAATGGAAACTAAATTGAGAAAACGGAACTATTGAAATTTGAGGTTCTGAAATCTTTTGAAGGATAAACGCACATTTTAAATAAATATGTTTAAAAAAATGATCTCATATCAAAAAGATCAGAATAGCTAAATCCATTTTCATATCGAAAAACCGATTAAATTTTTATATTATCAAAACAATAAAGATAATAACAAAAAGTTCAAAGAGTATTTTTTTCTTTCTAGAAAATACTAATATAGAAAATATTGATTAAATTTTATATAACAATAAAATACTAGTTTCCAGGCCCGTAGCCAGGGGGGGACCGTCGGGAAAAATCCTCCCCCCCCGAAATTCTGGGATTCAAACTTTTTAGTCTTTCTTTGAGCCTCTCAGTAAAAAGAAAAACAAAAACTGTCGAATCAAACTTTTTCCCAGTACACCACCTTCGCTAGTGCATCAACTTCACTTGACCTTGTGGCTCATCTTTCCTTCGGTTAGACTCCTCCCCTGAAATCAATTGTTTTTCAGCATATTAATTTATGCAATGTCTGAATCTACGCAGATTTCATGGACATCGAAAACCTCATGGGAGAAATAGAAGTATGGGCATCAGAGTGGAACCAGCGTGAACCCCTTAGTAGACCAGATACGGCACTTTCAGCAATGGAAGAATGTGACAGTATCTTTTACCCAAACATTTATTGCTTGTTATCAATATTGGCTACGTTGCCAATTACCACAGCAACTGCAGAAAGAACTTTTTCTATTCTTAAACGCGTAAAAACAGCAACTAGAAATGCTACTGAAGATGAAAGGCTAACAGGGCTTACTTTATTAAGCATATTTCGGGATATTCCGATTTGTCCTAAAAAAGTAATCGAAAAAATTTTCTTCAATTCCCCGTCGCATGTATTTGTAAACTTTGTTTACAAATTGATTATAATTATTATGCAATATTAATTGAAAAATAATTATTATGTAATATTTTTTAATTACTAGTTTAACTTTTGCAGACAACAGAATAAACAATATTTGTTACAATGTTTTTCCCCTACTTTGCATGTGTGAAACTGTCCTTGCTTCTTACCATATCCCCCCGAAAAAAAATTTATCCTGGCTACGGTCTTGCTAGTTTCTGTTTAAAAAGTATCATTTGAAATTAGCCTTTCATTCGAAATTCTAGTTTATACTGATTTCACACCTCTCTAATTGTGTTTCCTTCCATTCTCCATCTAGGTCTGAAGCTGAGAACAACAATAATCTAGAAGTCAATAACCCATCAACAAATTCAACATCAAACTCAACATTTCCACCAACTAACTCACCTCAAAATAGCCCCACAATGAGTCCTAGGAGCCGTAATTCGCGATCTAGAAGTTCAAGTTCAATCTCTAGTTCCAGTGGCAGCAGTTCACCATTGTCCACCATCAATGAAGAAGAAGAATGGCCTGTGCGAGTAGTCATAGATTGCATAGGTGTCCAGGCGGCCAGACTAATGGACAACTGTGATACTTCTGTCCAACTGTCAAATGGAAATGCGCTGAGCACGAACTCAAAGTGTTAACGTTAGTCCTTGTCCTGGTTTAGTCAACTAGCAATGTTTCATTCACAATTGTGTGATTTATTTGTAACTTTCTTCAGTATTATAAGTATTAAATAGTGCATAGGTATCTAGATGTCCAATGTAATGAACAACTGTGACACAATAATCCATCCAACAAATGACCATCAACTGGTTCGAAATATTAACTCTTTCTTGTGCAGGTTCCTCTCTCCAGTCAATCAAAAATTATTTATTTTGTTTTCTATATTATAAATGCAACGGGTATTACTTTACGAACGACTTGATGGAAAGCCTGGTGGATAAATATCTGTCAACTGTCCCTGCTGCAATAAGCAGGAAGGCACAAACAAAAGCTCAAAGTGTAAAATGATGGTTGTAATTTAGAGTGTTCCAAATGAGAGCTCATTCAGTCAAGTAACACATCATGTGAATACATTCTTATTTCAATTTTATAATTCCATATGGCTTCAGTATTATAAAACCAGTGGCTTCAGTGTTATAAATTTATGTGGTTTCAGTAATATAAATGTGTAAGTTATTTCTGAGTAGATTGCTGAAGAACTATGACATTATGACAGCTATCAAACAAACAGAATTCTTTGTCAGAAATGGAATCTTATGGTCCTTATATTGCTCAAAAACGTTAATAGGGTTCGTTAATGCTTTCAAATTTTAAACGGATCCTATTGCATTAGAAAGAGGTTTCTAAATTGCAAGAGTAATGTGCTCTCCATCTAACAAGCATAAATTCAAATACAAACTAATTCGTTTTGACATTTGTTTTTGTTACAATCCTTTAGTTGACCAACAGTGATTAGTTCTCGCCTTAGAAATCTAATGTATCTTGCTATGATGTGTATAATACTGCATAAGTGCCAAAATGGCTAGGTTGAAGGACAACTGGGATTCACAATCGCTACAAATGTATTATTTTAATATACAAAGGTAATTTTAAATAGTTTTCAAAGAATTGTGGGTAAGTGATAACAGCATTTAATCCCTCACACGAGTGATGAAGTTCCGATTATAATACTATCAACTTCCTTAGGATTGATACTGGTTAGAAATGGACACTACAAAAATGACTAGTCAGCAAAATTCTATTCAACATTATGTGTGTCAATGACAGCATGCGAGAAGAGTAAAAAGCAAATTTTTTTGCCCATAAAAGCATAGAAAATATTTTCAAATAGGAAACCTAAACATAAAACACATGTCTCCTTCTATGTGTGAATTTTCTGTGTAAAATTTGTTATTTATTTAGAAAAGTTATAGCTTTTATTGTAGGACATAGGTTGTAATGTGTAATAATTAATAAATATACTTTTGAATCCTTTTGTTCTATTCGTAATTAACTTAACTAGGAGTATTTCATTATTAAAGAAATCAGTGTAGTAAAAGAGTGTTGCAATATATACGGTGCGCAAAAAAAAAACGGACCACCCTGAATAACTTATGATCTAGTGATCGGATCTTTACTTTCTAGGATTCAATTTTAATGGTTCAATAGGGAGACCTCAAATCTGCTAAGTGCAGACGGAATTTTAAGTTACAAAATCAGACACAAAAAACGTACTTTTTCTGAATAAACATACCTTTTCTTCGACGGATTCGGATTTCTGCTCCCAAAATGTAGGAGGTAGCCACAATCTGGTAAATATGGCCCCCATAGTTTGGCTAGGAGAACACTCTAAAGTTTGGACCTCTTAATGTTAATTTTACTTTTTGCATATTTCGCCATATCTCGAGAACTTTTTAAGCGAATTGAAAATTTTTCTGCACACAGTTATAAAATTTTTTTTTCCAAAGATAATTACATGCAAAAAATTACATTTAGTAAATATTTATTTTTTATTTAATAATGATCGAACATTTTTTAAATTGTTAGGTATATAACTTTTATATCATTTTCAAAAATAGAATTTTACATGTCAAAATACAAAATTTGTGCAAAATCGTAAACAGTTCTCGAGAAATCGAATTTTAAAGACTCCTTTGAAATTCAATTTCTCAGAAACTATTCTACCGATTTTGCTCAAATTTTGTATTTTTCCATGCAAAAGTATGTTCTTTGGAATGATGCAAGAAATTGTATACCTTACAATTCAAGCTTTTTTCGACCATTTTTGAATAGTCCAATAAAAGATAAATATTTACTATAAGTTATTTTTTGATATCTTAAGATAAACGAACTTAACTGTTCGAAAAATTTTTTCAATTGGCTTAAAACTTCTAGATATATAGCGAAATACGCAATAAGCAAAATTAATATTAAGAGGTACAATCAGAGTCTGACTAAGGCAGGGGCATACGGGGCAGTTGCCCCGGCCTCCCACATCAGAGGGGGGGGGGAATGAAGTACAAAGTTTATTTTGTGTTTCTTTTTTTAATGAACATTTTTTAAAACAAAATATCAGTACAGTGTAAAATCCGTCAGTTTTATGCTAGCTTCTTCACTAACCAATCGTATGAACACAAAAAATTTATAATTCGTAAATCTATGGCTTTCTAGGGCTAATTCAGGCTATTCAGCCATGGCTAATTCAGCTAAATTTTCGCAATTGTGATGGACAAATTTGGCTAATCAAAAGCCTGATTTTTACATATCTCAAAATTTGATATGTTAACGAAGATATGGGCTTCTGATTGGCTTAATTGAGCCATCGTAATTGCGAAAATTTATCTGAATTCCGCCCTCATGTCAGCAAGGATATGAATTTTTTATTGCTAGTTGAAAAAGTTAACAATAAGTTATCCCATTGTTGACCCTTTAATGCGTCTTTAATTCAGTTAACGGAAAGAAAATAATAACTTTTAATAATATTTAAGAAAAACTAGAAGAAAATAATAACTTTTAATAATATTTAAGAAAATAATAATGCTTTACATTTTCTAATTATAAATTTAAATAGCATTTTAGCCAAATTTTGGCTCATCAGATGTGTTACATCATTTTAATGATCGACATAGAATTGTCAGAAAATCAATAAAATTGACAGAACGGTATTTCGTCAGACCAATGAAGGGGGGGAGGACTTAATAGCTATATTAGGTCCTAGTTAATTTTCTTGTTATATATCTATAATTAGGTGAAAATTTAAATGCCTCCATAAAGTTGGGTTCTTCATTACTGAAGTAGTGACGCAGAGGGGGGCCCCGAAAGATGGTTTTGCCCCGGGCCCCAATTAGGCTAAGTCAGGCCCTGGGTACAACATTTGGAGTGCTCTCTTGACCAAACTATTGGAACCATATTTCCCAGATTGCGGTTACCGCCCTATATTTTGGAGGTCAGAAATCCGAAAAAAAAAGTATGTTTATTCAGAGAAAGAAGGTTTTTGTGCCTGATTTCGTAACTTAAAATATCGTCTGTACTAATTAATTTAACAAACAATAAAAGTAATCAATATAAAATATAATAAAAATATTTATCGATCTATATAAAAAAATAGGAAAATTGTTCGAAATTAATGGATTTTCTTACTTATTGCCGCAATATACTTATATATTAAAATTTTTTTATGACGATTTCATTAATAATCATGATTTAAAGACTTACTGAAATGAATAGTATTCTTAAAATAAAAATCTGATAATCTCTTACAAAGCGCCATCTAGTATATACAATATTAACAAATTCAATAATTATATTTTAAAAAGTATGATGGTTGGAATTATTAAGAATGAGAGTCTATTTGATTTGATTGCTTAAAATAAACTATCTTTGAGAAAGTGTAGACATAGAAATTTTTCTTTGAGAAGTATAATAAAAGACAAAATGATTCTAATAGATAATTCATGATGATTAATGATCATGGTTGCATAATTAAAAAAAATTTTTCAAATTTAAAAAAAAAATAGGTTAATACCAACGAGGTGAATTTTGCGTTAAAAGAAATTACCTAATTATTTATTGGAAGTAATAATAAGTGCATAGTGAAGTACATCGTAAGTGCAAAATTAAAATGCAATTCAATTACATAAACGCACGCTAAATATTAAAAATTATGAAGAAAAAAAATATAAAAATAAAATAAATATAATTAAAAACCTTTTTTTAAACAGAAAGATATTTACGTTTTTTGGAGAAAATATATTTACTCTAAATACAACAGAAAAAGTAGGCTTAATTACAATAACAAACAAAACAGTTATCTAAAATTTGTATTTCAATAATTTATTTTGATCTTAAACAGATGATAAATAATTGTTTACGTGGGGTATTTCATTACTAGAGCAATATAGATTAAAAAGTTATTACTATTGCTTCAATTAGTTCACCTAGTAGAAAATAATGAGTCACGTGATTACATTATATTATGCATACAATGGAAAAATATTTTTACTAATTTATTTGATTTTACTAGTTTATTTTCACGACGATAAATAATAATAAAAAAATATTAATTATTAAATTATTAATTAAAATTAATATTATTAATTATAATTATTAATTAAAATTAATATTATTAATTAAAAATAATTATTAATTAAAATTAATGCTATTAATTAAAAATAATTATTAATTAAAATTAATATTATTAATGAAAATAATTATTAATTAAAATTAATTGATATTATAAATTAAAAATAATTATATAAAGCAATTTTTACAATTACGGTGAAAGCTTTACATTTACTGTCCACTATTGCTTCATGCTTCAGTCAATGGAGAATCAATCAAGAAAAAAGAGTCATACGTAGGAAAAGGAAATGCTACTCCGTCAAAATTTTATCGAATAACTGTTTATAAATAAATATTACTGATTCGAAAGGCAATAAAAATAAATTTTTGCTATTAATTTATTATACTCGCATATTTTTAAGATGGAAACAAAAAGTATTAACAATTTTGAGTTTTGAAAAAAAGTTGGATGGGTCAGATTTCTCAACGTGTGTGCTTTACGTGACAAAAAATTAAAAAAAAATAAGAAAAAAAAATTCTATTACTACTGCCTTGTTTAACGGTGTGTGTTATGAAGGGGAAAAAAAAGCACCTACAGTAAAACAGCTTCCTGTATTGTAGTATGTTGTTATACCCTTATACAAGGGCACAAGCTGATGGTGTACATACATCTGGAGTAGATTACAGCTTCAATAAATATGATAATATTGTATTGCGATAATACTATGAATGTACCAGTGATAGATATTCCTATTTCTCCATTACTTAAATTGTATCACATAATCACATTCCTTGCTTATTCTTAATGCAACACATTTTGGTTTTAATTTTTTGAGCTATTCATACTTATAAACAACCATTTATGACATTTGTAAAGTATGAAAAGGTAGAACTGCAAGTAAAAATAAATGTTTCGTAAATTTTCATTGAAAATTTATTTTCTATGGAATGCTACAATAATAAATATTTTGATTGGTTTAAACTGTCCCTTTCACATAATAAATAATAATAAAGAGTATCTTGTTTTTACGAATTTTCTAGGTAAAAATTGTTTCATCGTTTCCCAGACATTGATAATAAAACTTGGATAAAATTTTTTTAAATTTTTATTCAATGTTCCAATTGTATGTGCGTGCGTGTATGTGTGTGTGGGGGGGGGGGGAGAGGACATTTTAGCGATGTCTGTAGCCTATAGAGATATAGTTATAACCTCCCACTAGAGCTTGATTATCCATAATTGCATAAAAATAAAATGAAAATCCAATGCACAGTTTCTGAGGTGACGAGATAGAAAAAATATGGTTTCTTAAAAAACGAGATTTAAATTAAATGTTATAGCATTGGTCGATGTAATTTCTCGATGCTTTAAACGAAAATTTTACTTTTACTCTCAATATAATAAGTTAGTAGAAAAAAAGCAAAAAATAAAAAGTCGAGTTTTGAAAAAAAGAAAGAGAACATTGCCGATATTTGAAGCTTATAAAACAGACAAACTATTCTACCAATGTTTGAAACTTAAAAAAAATATTCAAAAATAGAGATATAAAAAAGCTCCCATAATACACGTGAAGAATTTTTACTATCTATAGTACCATAAAATTAAAAAGAAAATAGAATGAATTATAGTTTCTGAGGTATGGATAGGACGAGATAGAAAAATTACATGTAAAACGCGATTTAAGTTTAAAGATGTATCGTATGTTTATGCCGGAGGTTTACAGGAATCAGCATGCATTGGCTGCTGTAACTTTTCCTATGGTTATAATCAAGAGCTTCACTTTATGTGTAGAATATAAGTTTGCCAAAAGAGCGATAAAAAAAGTTGATTTAAGTTCGTGTCTTTCCTAATATATTTCTCCCTAAATATTTTATAATTCCATTTTCATAATGATTGTTGGTAATGATATGTCAATTATATAATGCTAAATGTTACAATTTAATTTGCATTAATCATAGAAAACGATTTTACATTAACGTAGAGGAAATATTGCAATACATTTTTTTACGTATCGATAAGAAATATGTATGAAACTGATAACTAAAAAAATAAATTAGTGGTTTTTTAGAATAACCCTTAAGTAACCACCGCTCTTAATACTTATTTTTAGAGCGCTTTTTAGAAATATCAAATAAGTATTGGTCAATAAGTACTTGTCTAATAAATATTGGCGAAAACAAATTAATAGTCAAGAGAAAAAATGACTTCGTCAAATCACCATTAAAAATGTTAGGAAGGATGGATTAAAAACATTAAAACTTAAAATCTCAGACCACAATGCTGACGTACAATATCTCTTTGACGTCGGGCTACCATCGGAAGTTTTCGTGCTTTACCTATCCACGTAACGCAAATGCTGGTTAGTTCTATCGATAAGTCCTCCTTAAAAGCTAGTTTATCTCAATGCCTAATCCAGGAGTTCTCTTGTCTTCTAGGTTGAATTCAAAGTAAAAAGGCAGCAGAGTTAAAACACTGATAGTCATAAACTCAGAATAAAATTCGGCTGTTCAACATCGATTATTCAATAAAATAAAACTCTAAACCTATTGATTGTTCCATGAAACTTAAAGGTATTACAAATAATCGAATCACCATTTAGCTCCTATATCTTTCCTTGGGCAATCAAACATATTTTGTCTTTTATACCCTCTTTCCTCTTTCCTGAAAGTCAATCGCCAGATTTTCAAAGCGTTTTTGGATTTTCTTATTTAAATATTAGATTACGCGAAACCGTAAAGTTTACTCTAATAAAAGAATTGTAAAAAATATATTAGAGAGCGCCGTTGCAGAATACCCTATCCTGTATAAATAAATGAATAAATAAATAAAAAGCGAACAACTTTATCAAGAAAATGTATTTAAAACTTGTTAAAATTATATTTCAAATTACTAATTAGTTAAAATTGTTAGATATTTATACCTTGCCATTCTAAGTGCAACAAAATTAATACATCTCTTATTTTAATTTTCTTTTTCGTTAAAATAAAGTCAACTGATAATTATTACATATTTCACTGATAATTATTATAACTCTAAATTTACCTGATATAAATAGGAATTCATGATACGCGCGACACTTTATATATTTGATTTTTCGATTATTAAAGATTCTATGGTTTAAAATTTAATTCCGTAGTTGAAGACCAAGGGGAGAACGAGTTAAGTTCATGAAAGCTAATTAGAAAAGAAAAAAAAAAAAATATCGAATTTATGTGCAGACCGGAAGGGTTTTTCCCACAGAAAGGCATATCTTCACTGCGTCATAAACCGATCTTTCACGTCATTGATTTGTCAAAACTTAATAATCTTGATAAGCAGTTTTCTTCTTTTGGTCTTGAATTGTTATTTGGGTATACGAATAATTTAGAATTCATTTTGATTTATCGAAACACTTAAAGCGAAATCGTCAGCTCATTCCTTATTTGTTAACTCCCTCAAAAAACTATAAACAATTGAAAAATTATTAATTTAATTAATGATTATTAAATTATGAAAGTATGAAAATTTATTTAATTAATTATTATTAAATTATGAAATTATGAAAATTTATTTAATTAATTATTATTAAATTATGATAATTTATTTATTTAATTATTATTAAATTGTAATAATTTATTTAATTAGTTATTATACATTATTATAGTTTAATTAATTAATTAATATTAAATTATGATAATTTAATTAATTATAATTAAATTATCTACAGAGTAATTTAATTAATCTACAGAGAGATCAATTTATCTACAGAGCAATTTATAGGAACATTAATATGACAAATTAAATTGTAATAATAGTTTTAAATAATAAAAAAACATATGCACATAAAATTATAAATAGTTTAAAAACTAAAAAATTTCCCACAATAAATTGTATTGATTTATTATGCACGTAACAAATAATTGCTGTAATTATCTTTTAATGGATTGCTTTTCATTAATGTATTTTGATTCTTAATTTATAATATAATTAAAAACCATTTATTCAAAAACATATTTAAATAACAATAACAAGTTATAAAGTATTAACATACTTGATCGAAAAGTTAAATTAATCATTTAAGTATTTAAATGCCAAATTTATAAGGAAATCAGAGAGTATCAGCAACTGATTAATAAATTAAATCATGATTTTAAAAAAAAGTAAGAAACCAAATCCTACGTATTAAAAATATTAGTTTCATTATATACATTCTTATACGATATATGTATAAATAAAATTAAATAAATTAATAAGAATATTCAATACAACTTTTCCTCATCATTTTTCCTTTTCAAAATAAATTAGCTTACAAAATAATATAAACAGGAAATAGTTTTACCAAGGAAAAATTGAGAATGGGAAAAAATAAAAAATCTGAAACTACCTATAATAATGTTCTCAAAGAAAAATTAAACAGTTTAGGAGAAAAAAGATTTTCGATATAACGAAATATCTCATTGAATTTAGAATCACTTTCTTTCAATTGGAAAACAATGTTTTAAATAAATTAAACAACGAAAAATGGAATTCAATATTTTAAACAAGTTATTTTATATTTTCTAAAATGACTTAATAGATGGCAGCACTAGTTAAATTATATTGATTTTATTAGCCATAACATTGTTAAAAGTACTAATTGAACAAATATGGCTTATCAGATATAATTTTTAATTGATGTCTTATGCGCTCTTTAATTCTTTAACACTTAAATTGAAATGATGGTTTTCTTTGAAAATTCTTGGTTACTTCTCTAGTTATGAAATCGTGTTATCATTTGAAGTGATTAAATAAAAGTAACAGAATTATAAACGTTTTTCTTTACAAATTCGCATAATTCATGCCTAATATTAATGTTATATTATTAAACATTTTATCTGTTTTATAAATTTGACTTATATAATTTGGAGCTGCCTGCTACTGATTAAAATAATTTGAAGTACAATTAATTCTTAAAACAAAATTTAATTTGCTTCTGTTAATGTGTCAATAAGTAATACAAACAATAAAAAAAATAAAATAATCAAACCTAATAATTAAAAAAAAAATGATTTAAAATATAATTTTTAATTCCACGTTTACTTTTCTCTCCAAAGCAATATTTAAAAACAACAGCGCTTTTTTTTTAAATTTTTAATAAATTTTCTTAAATATTGTTTTTAAAAAATATAATATTTTAAATATAAAAAAATAATAATTAATAACTCAAACAGCGTTGTTTTATTATTCATATTATTTCCAATAAAAAATAAATTACAAAAAGTGTTTAAGCAATTAATCAACGAGGGGGTCGTCTACCTGTCCCCTCATCGCACACCTTTCGCAGAAAGTTTCTGTTTCAGTTTCAGAAACTAAGTTTACCTATCATTTCACAAATCTTTTGTCAGGTTTAAAGTGTTTTTCCCTTTGTTCTTCTAAGTTGAAAACATTGTGCGATATTCATAAATTAATACGTTAATCAAAGGAAGTAGTAATAGACAGTCGCAGCAGTCATCATCTTTACAGATTTTAGTCCTGATGTGTATTATTGTTAACAAAGATGGTATGACGTCACAAACCTCATGCGCTCCTTCCTGCAAGCTTGATTCCACTCCACACAGTCCCACTCCATTTTACCCTGGCAAACGCCGGTCTCAGACAAAGAGGAAATCGTTTTTAGATTTTCAAGATAATTAAAGCTACAAAATTTGCAAAAATTATTGAAATCGAAGCCTAAAACCTCCAGTTTGACGTAAGTACCCATTAGATGACCATTTAATCCGCGGGAGACCGCGAAATCCAACATTTAAATCATTACTTAGCTTATATGTTTCATTGTCCTTTCCAAATACTAAGTACTTCTCGTATTCTAGTTACTTAGCGTTTCTGCAGGGTTCGATCTATCTAGAATAATAATCGCGTTACAGATTCGCTATGAAATCTATCATGTTAAACATCAAATGCCGGTCAGTGTTTACATGAACTGTCAAACTACATGTGACGGGCTGATCGAGATGTAAAAAAACACGAGATACCTGTGAATGTTTTGTTATTATATTCTTAAATGGAAATACTTACAATTCATATCGGGATCAATTCCATACTAAATAAACTAAGATTTTCTGCTTGAATTTTAATTTTTCTTTTGTTTATGTTCTGTCTTAACTGTGATGTAAGATTGTGTTTACATGAATGGTATGAGCAGGTGATCAGCTGTTGTAGTACTATTTGAATACAGGTAGGATTTTACAATCTAAGTTTGCCTATCAAGTTTAGATTTATTTAATATTTTATACATTTATTGCTGCATTATTATTTATTAAATATATTATCTCGAGACTTATAAAATTTTTAATTTTGAGCTATTTTATTGTAAAAAAACTAGTGTTATGTTATAGCCGCTACTGTTCAACAAGACACAAAAATATTACTTTGTAAAATGACTTCAGAGTTATTTTGTATTATATGAAATTTATTACATCATACCAATTAACAATTTAATAATTTTAAATTGGTTATTATTATAATTTGAACAATTTACTGTTGCTGCTTCAAGCTTGAAACACATATATTGCTGTTCAGTGGTTAAATTTCATGCGTAAATTAAACCATTATTATTCCAATTGTGTATTAGTATAGTTTTTTTCTGAATTCTAATACTTTTTCAAAATATTATTCCATTTTCTTGCCTTTGTATGATATGGGTTTAGCGTACATTTGTTTACATTTTAGTCTGTTTATATTCCACTTTCGAGATATAATATACATATAAATTACAACTATTGTTTATTCTATTAAGAGGTAAATAGGACTTAAAGTGATATCTAATTTTTTAGCCTTTAAATTTGCTTTATTAATAATTTGATTGCTATTTTTCATTTCCAATTAGTTCCTATTATTATTACTAACTTCCCTGTGGATAAAATAATTTCTTTTAATTCTTCCTTATTTTAAATTTTTTTCTTACTTTAATTTCCATTTAGAACGTATTTTATAAAAACTTTTCTTTGTGTACATAAAATAATTTTTAGAGATTACAGCATATAAAATATTTGTTGAATTAAATGGTTATAGTAAGAAAGTTAAAAATGTTTATTTATTGCTAACATATTTGAATTTACTTTAACTAAGCTTTTTTTAAAAAAACTTTTACATATTTTGCAATTAATAATTTTAAGGATAATTGTTTGATTCAGTTATAGTCTGATAAGAGCTTTGTTATTAACATGATGCAATTTTGATACTAATTTTGTAAACAAGGAAGTAAGATTCCTGTAATATCTGGCGATTATTATTTTCGACGTTCTTTTATAAAGAAAATCTATTTGTGTAATCTGCTTGGAGCTTTATTTTGAAAATTAAATATTATTCTATTCTAATTGATCAATGAATAGAATATCAAATTCAATAACAATTTTTTTACTTCATATTTATTAAAGTAAAATTTTATCACAATAGCAAATAATATAAAAATTCCCGATCACAATAGCAATTTTTTTTTACTGCAATGCATTTTGATATACCAAAAAAATATTTCCCTATGTTCACTGTTAAATAAACTATTAGTTATATCGATGAACATTATGTTTGATATACCATTAATATTACTGTACGGTGAAAAATTCAACTACTTTTTTGTACATTACAAATATGTCGAAAGCATTATTTTTTCGCTTTTACCTTCAAAGAATTTTTTATTTTTGATCTGTAGAGGAAAATTATTTACCATTATGCTTTAAAAAAATTCTCTTACCATGTATCTCAGTGAATTAGTCGACTTGTCGTATGTAAGGATTTCCTATTTTTGATTATGTGATTTCTGATATGTCAGGTGAATGAGTCTGACTCCTAAAAAAAAAAATTTTTTTAAATTTAAAAAAATAAATAAATTACGAAGTAAAATTTTTTTCCTAAATTAAAAATATTTCCCATTGTTCTATCTGGATATCATATGTTTTTCCTCAAATAAAGATGTATAACGTTATAGAATCCGACATAGATGATGTCCTGGAANTCATGTAAGACGTTCAAATTTTTTGCGCATTAATGCAAGATGGACAAATACCTTGTAAAGGCAATATCTTCTACTCCGAAACGGACAAATGAAAATGAAACAAATGTGGGTAGAAACGATCAAAACGAAACAAATACGCATTTGAGTTACCTAATTAGAATAGCTGATGAAAAAGTAGATATAGAACATTTTCCATATGATGATGCAGCAAAAATATTCAATGCTTTAAAAATTAGAAGATATTAAAAATGTATTATAATTAAAGAAATGATTTTTTTCATGTCTCTTTACGTTTTTGTTTTTTAATTTTTAGAAATCTCACTTAACTTTTTGAAATCTCACCCTGTTTTTGAGAAAGGGTGAGAAATTCTCACCCATTTTTTCTCTGCGATGAAAACACTGTGATATCTAATTTTTTAGCCTTTAAATTTGCTTTATTAATAATTTGATTGCTATTTTTCATTTCCAATTAGTTCCTATTATTATTACTAACTTTCCTGTGGATAAAATAATTTCTTTTAATTCTTCCTTATTTTAAAATTTTTCTTACTTTTTCTTTTTCATTTAGAACGTATTTTATAAAAACTTTTATTTTGTGTATATAAAATGATTTGTAGAGATTACAGCATGTAAAATATTTGTTGAATATTATTGGCTATAGTAAGAAAGTTAAAAATGTTTATTTATTGCTAATCTATTTGAATTTACTTTTAACTCAACTTAATTATTTTAAGAAAACTTATAAATATTTTAAAATTAATAATTATAAGGATAATTGTTTGATTCAGTCAGAGTCTGATAAGAGCTTTGCTATTAACATGATGCAATTTTGATACTAATTTTGTAAACAAGGAAGTGAGATTCCTGTAATATCTGGTGATTATTATTTTTCGACGTTCTTTTATAAAGAAAATCTATTTGTGTAATCTTCTTGGAGCTTTATTTTAAAAATTAAATATTATTCTATTATAATTGATCAATGAATAGAATATTAAATTGAATAATAATTTTTTTACTTCATATTTATTAAAGTAAAATTCTGTCTTTAATATTAATTATCGATCATAACATTTTTTTTTTTTTTTACTGCAATGTGCATTTTGATATACCAAAAAAATATTTCCCTATATTCACTGTTAAATAAACTATATTAGTTATATCGATGGACATTATGTTTGATATACCATTAATATTACTATACAGTGAAAAATAAACTACTTTTATATAAATTACAAATATCCATTATGTGTCAAAAGCATTTTTTTTTCTTCACTTTTACCTTCCAAGAATTTATTTTTAATCTGTAGAAGAAAATTTTTAACCATTATGCTTTAAAAAAATTCTCTAATGTATCTCAGTGTATTGGTCGATTTATTGTATGTAAGGATTTCCTATTTTTGATTATGTGATTTCTGATATGTCAGGCGTATGAGTCTGACTCCTAAAAATATATATATAGATATAAAAATTTTTAAAATTTAAAGAAAGAAAAATTACAAAATAAATTTTTTTTCCTAAATTTAAAATATTTCCCATTATTCTATCTGGATATCATATGTTTTTCCTCAAATAAAGATGCATAACGTTATGGAATCCGACATAGACAATGTCTTGGAATTTTTAAGTTTGTAGGCTTATGGTACGTTTTAAGAATTTTTATTGCTTATTTTGAAATAATTTTGATCAAATTGTTATAACTTTTCTTATTCTTAATTTTTTTTTATTGTTTAAAAATAAACATTCGTAAAGAAAATATAATGAAAGATAGATGCAAAATTAATTGTATATGAAATATTAAAAATTGTTTTTGAACTGGGTAAATTGATACAGAGTTATTCATATCTATCTCATTGTTCATAATGCATCGATATTTCCCTATCAACTAAAGTCTTACTTTATTACTGAAATAAGTCAACCAACTATGTATACCGTATATATAGTAGTAGTTACTTTACTATTTATAGTAGTTACTATAGATTACTATTATTTTAGTTACTTTAGATTTAAATAGCCCTTTTAAGAGTGCATGTTTTTGTAAAATTAGAGCCAGAAAAAAATAATTATTATGTTATTGAAAAATAATAACATTTTAAAAAATATAACATAAAATTGCCACAATTTATTAAATTTTATAATATTTAAATTATTTTGATGTTTAGTTATAGGTTTTCTTGCATACGTAATTATGAAATTATGTACTGAATTTATGTAATTCTTATATGAAAAAAATGTGTCATAAAAGTGCTATTTATGGAAACCATAACAGATAGCTTATAAGTTAAGAAAACTGAAAATATAATTTTATTAGTGATAACTGAAAATATCATTTTATTACTTATTACTATGCCTTTTTTTTTTACTTATAATTTAATAAGAGAAATATGTTTCCTTACTATGATAAAATACTTTTATTTTAATGCTTACTAAATTTTTTTTATAAATGTTTAAATCAGTGCTTCGTTAAAGTTATGGCGATTAACTGCAACAGTTATCAGATAGTTAACTAACAACATGACGCAAGCTATAATAATTAAAGCTGTAAGATTTTTAAATTGAATGTATCAAAGGGGATGTATGACAAAAGAAATGAAAAAATAATTGTTTAAGGTAATATATTTTTGGTAATATATTTTCTGATTTACCCAAGTTTAGTATAACTAATGTTATACTTTTAAGTCAATCAAATTTTGAAAAATGTTTTCCTATATAAACAAACAAAATTCTCAATGTTGCATAATTAATGTAATTAGTGTAATTCTTTGCTAAATTAGCATGTTTGCTATGTTATAATTATAGGCTTACAACCAATAGTTTAATTAATTGAATTATTTATTTTAAAGTTAACTTTAAGAGGTCAGATAGATAAGTAGTTATTAACCTTTTTTCTTTTTATGTGTAGCACTTGAGGGAATATTTTTCCAAAATCTAATATATAGATAATAGCATATTCATTTTCCTAAATATTATAAACTAAAGAATTGTTTAAATAAATGAAGCTTTTGTTACAGGATAAGTTAAAGATTGATCTAAGTTCAAACATTAAATAGATAAATATGAAAGGAAACTTAGTGCAACAATTTTGAAACTCGTAATATATATATATTGAAAAAGTTGTTAAGGAGTTCAATTCTAGTTAATACTTTTTTTTCGTGTTCAGTGATTCTTTTGGTGGTTTTTTCCTGTATTTGTTTTTATATTCCAAAACATTATATGGACCATATGAA